TACTACTAGTAGTACCACCACTAACTTACTCTCATGATCAATAATAACAACACGCACGCACGCACGCACGCACACACACACGCACAGCACGATTGTGCAAGAGCCCAAGTTTGGTGGTTTTGTGCGTGCGTGCGTGCGTGCGTGTGTGTGTGTGTGTGTGTGCGTGTGTGTGTGCGTGTGCGTGGATGTGTGCTGTATTATGGTTCGCACAGTCCTCGAAAAGTCCTTCAATTTGAGGGGAGTTTTTGAAAAGTACTTGAATTTAGTAAATGTTGATTTTGTGCTTGAAAAGTCTTTGAATTTCATGAAAATGTCCTTGAATTTTTAGAAAGAATCCTTGCCTGTAATAAAAAGAAATTTTGTACCATCAATAATGTGCATACCTCAATAAAAATTGCGTTAAATTAGCTTAAAAAGCTATAGACACGATAGACAGTTAAATGATGATCACAAATTACAGTAAGTCAGTAAAATCAGTCAGTAAATCAAGGTATGTTCTAGAAGTGACTGTGTTTAGAAGGGTTTATTAATGTGATCCAGGTAAGTTTTAGAGGTGACATTGATTAAGAATGGGATTATTAAATTAATCCAGGTATGTTTTGTTCTGTGTATGAATTCCGATAAAATGTCCGATAAAATGTCCTTGAAAAGTCCTTGGAATTTTTTTCAGTCCTGTATGAACCATATGTGTATGTTGTGCGCGTGTGTGCATCTGTGTGTGTATATACCAAATAATTTATTGCTTGTGTTGGCATAAATTTTAATACATGCCTAAATCTTGTAGATAGCAATGAATTGTTGTCACTTATTTTTAGCTCATCTGACGTAGTCCGATGCAGCTTGTAGAATCGCATGATCGTCCGTGCGTCCATCCGTGCGTGCGTGCGTGCTGTGTGTGTATATACCAAATAATTTATTGCTTGTGTTGGCATAAATTTTAATACATGCCTAAATCTATTAGATAGCGATGAATTGTTGTCACTTATTTTTACCTCATCTGACGTAGTCAGATGCAGCTTGTAGAATCGCATGATCGTCCGTGCGTCCATCCGTGCGTGCGTCCGTCAACAGGTGGGCACAAATCTAAACGACTCGACGTACAGATTCGAAAGTCGGGACGTGGGGGGGTAATCCGAAAACGAGTTGGGATGTCGAAGATGGGGGTCAAAGGTCAAAGGTCAAGAGGTGTAAAAGAAGGGGGAACATTCCCTCCTTAACTTAAGGTATAGGGAGGAAATGCGGAATTGCGGCACAAATCTAAACGGCTCGACCTAGGCTAGTGATAGTCGGTGTATAGCATCATGGTAGGAAAAGCCATCACTGTGCCGAAATTGGAGGTCACAGATGTGTGTGTGTGTGTGTTGTTATTATTGATCATGAAAGTAAGTTAGTGGCGGTAGTACTACTACTAGTGTTGTACCCAAACTTGGAATCTTGCACAATCGTGCTGCCCAAACTGCGGATTCCTCAGTTTGGCTGCCCGTGCAATCTCAATCTGCAATCTCAATCTGCAATCTCTCTTGCTTATTCAACTACACTTAATGGCGATTGTGGCGTATGCGAGCATAACTGGTGCATACTAGGAAGGGATTTCTCTAATAGTTTAAAAAAATATAATCATTTATTATTTTAACAAAGATGCGTAATAGTGAAACACATTGAAGAAAGCTGATAAGAAGATATAGGAACTCTTTCTGATGATATAACCTTTGATACCCTTTGAATTCCAAGCTTGTGAAATCCCTGCTACACCATATCTCTCATTTGCTGACTCAAAAACTCAGTCTATGACCCTCGCTATACTAGAATATATGCCTTGCCTGGCTGGTCCCACTAAACAAAGTACAAAATTGTAACAGATTAGAATCCATCCAGCACAAAGCTGCCAAGTAGGTGTTAAAAAACTAGAGTGCAAGTTCTGAAATTACATTGGGCAATCTAGACTGGCCCGTTCTTCATGCTCGTTTCCTACACATAATATTCATGATTTATCATGGCTATGTGTCTCACCTTGCATAGTAAAGCCATCGCGTCATACTTTGTCATTCGATCATCTCTGTCCACTGTCTTTAATATGTGACATCCTCAAATGACTCATTCAATTTAGTATTTTTTTGTTTAGGTAATTTCTCACAGGAACTCTCTCTCTCTCATGCTCTATAGTAAATTGTGATATTGAAACCTCTTGTTCTGTTTGTATTGTCGAGCTAGCCACTGAATCCCTAATACGCAGGTGATTATTGAATTCTTCGATAAGTCGTCTATTATTAGGGTACCTGGCACAGTGTCAGCAGATTATCATGATTAGATGTTATCTTGTTTACAGTGCTATGTTTGTACAACGTATATCTTAAGCACAAGGTTGTTTGCCGAACTATTTCCAGGGTAGTATTCTTGAAGCTCTCATTTAAAACAGATATAAACCATGATGTTTGAAACAAATTTTTGATATAATATGTGTATTACAATGCAAATGTTTGAATCATAAGTTGCGACTTTCTTGTAGGCAGAATATGTCAGCTGAACTACTACAGAACTTGAATAGCGTGTATGACAAATGGGAGAAAAAGGCGCAGCCTTATGGGTTGCGGAACTCTGTTGTCAAACAGATACAGGATAGAGCTAGGAGACCCAGTCAGAGACCAGGATCATATATGAGTGACAGACACAATGGCTTTACTGGACCATCAATGGTACTATGTATATCATAATATCAGTATAGTTGCGTGTGACAAGGTCAACTTGTGTGTTTATGTGCATCACAAGTGTGTGTGTGTGTGTGTGTGTGTGTGTCAATGTGTGTTTGTGTGTGTGTGTGTGTGTGCGTGCGTGCGTGCGTGCGTGCGTGCGTGCGTGTGTGTGTGCGCGCACGCGTGACCCGCCGTGTGCATGTGTGCTGTGGTCGTGTGCGTGTGTGGTGTGTGTGTGTGTGTGTGTGTGTGTGTGTGTGTGTGGTGTGTGTGTGTGTGTGTGTCGTGTTGTTGTGTGTGTGTCCCTGTGTGTGTGTGTGTGTGCGTGTGCGTTTGTGCTGTCGTGTGCGTGTGCGGTGTGTCGTGCGTGTGCGTGGATGTGTGTCTTGTATTATGTTCGCACAGTCCTCGAAAAGTCCTGAATTTGAGGGAGTCCTTGAAACAGTACTTGAATTTAGTAAATGTTGATTTTGTGCTTGAATAAGTCTTTGAATTTCATGAAAATGTCGCTTGAATTTTTAGAAAGAATCCTTGCCTGTAATAAAAGAAATTTTGTACATCATAATGTGCATACCTCATAAAAAATTGCGTTAAATTTAGCTTAAAAGCTATAGACACGAATAAGACAGTTAAATGATGATCACAATTACAGTAAGTCAGTAAAATCAGTCAGTAATCAAGGTATTTCTAGAAGCTGACTGTGTTTAGAAGGGTTTATTAATGTGATCCAGGTAAGTTTTAGAGGTTACATTGATTAAGAATGGGATATTAAATTAATCCAGGTATGTTTTGTTCTGTGTAATGAATTCCGATAAAATGTCCGATAAAATGTCCTTGAAAAGTCCTTGGAATTTTTTTCAGTCCTGTATGAACCATATGTGTATGTTGTGCGCGTGTGTGCATCTGTGTGTGTATATATACCAAATATATTTATTGTTGTGTTGGCATAAATTTAATACATGCTAAATCTTGTAGATAGCAATGAATTGTTGTCCACTTATTTTTATGCTCATCTGACGTAGTCCCGATGGCAAGCTTGTAGAATCGCATGATCGTCCGTGCGTCCATCGCGTGCGTGCGTGCGTGCTGTTGTGTGTATATACCAAATAAATTTATTGCTTGTGTTGGCATAAATTTTAATACATGCCTAAATCTATTAGATAGCGATGAATTGTTGTCACTTATTTTTACCTCATCTGACGTAGTCAGATGCAGCTTGTTAGAATCGCATGATCGTCCGTGCGTCCATCGGCGTGCGTGCGTGTCAACAGGTGGGCCACAAATCTAAACGACTCGACGTACAGATTCGAAAGTCGGGACGTGGGGGGGTAATCCGAAACGAGTTGGGATGTCGAAGATGGGGTCAAAGGTCAAAGTCAAGAGGTGTAAAAGAAGGGGGACATTCCCTCCTTAACTTAAGGTATAGGGAGGAAATGCGGAGATTGCGGCACAAAATCTAAACGGCTCGACCTAGGCTAGTGATAGTCGGTGTATAGCATCATGGTAGGAAAAGCCATCACTGTGCCGAAATTGGAGGTCACAGGTCAAGGTCAATGGGGCACAAGGTAGATTTAGACATTTTCTGAGAACATGGTCTGACGGAGCGATTGAAAAACTTTTTTTTTTCAGGCGTGACCTAGCATTTTTTATGGCTTTATTGAAAGGACCATGAAATGTACTTTCCGCTGACATGCGAAGAGTAAGTGTCGATAACCTTTTGACCCTCAAGAGGAGCGGTTAAACATTGATTTGTGCCACAATGCACCATAAAACAGTTTCAGGCACTCGATTTGTATCAACCAATGGGATTTGGGAGGTATGCAGAATGTAGAAGGTTGCTGAAATGATGTGTACGCAACTGCGTATCTGCATATCTGCGCCGAAACAAAGGTGTCAGCTACGCACGACTTAAATGTTACGTTTATAACCGTAGCAACAGGCCTCAGATGAGCCCAGACGCTCTGCGGTTCTTGTTATGGCATACATAATGAAGGGCAGTTGCACTATATCAAGTCAAGTGATAGACGTTTTTTATTTAGGTTTCTATCTATATGAAAAGTCCTTAGACTATATCAGGCAGAGGTATTGGATAAACATTGATCGATGCAGTGATCAATCATGCGATTGTCAATCATAGGTTACTATCCATAAGCATGATTGGTCAATCAACTGCTATGAAGTATATCATGTGGTATGGTATGACTTTCTGTGTTTCCTGACAGACCTGGGAAGAAGGCTAGGCCAGTTTTAAAGTGGCACCAACTACGTGCGATGGCTGGGGGCAAGTACCGACCATTCATGGGCCTGTGCTGGCAATGTCTGTGTCCCACTAAGTCGAGTAAGTTTTTAGTTATATTTAGCTATAAAATATGAAATTATGGTGATTTAAGTGTTAATCTGTGTAATAAGTGTTGTTGGTGCAATGTTGTGTATAGTGCACTATATAGTTACATGTGAATGTACATGGCATGTGTTATATGTAGCAGTCAATATAGTGTGTGTGTTATGTGTTTCACTAGTGTGATAATGTATGTAAAGTTCTTAGAACTAACAGATTTGCCATACTACTTATGGCACTGCAGCATATTCTAAGTATCAGTGTTCGAAATAAGAGAAATTTTTTGCTTGTCTGACCGACAAGCTACATAGTCCAGGAGCAAATTCCTGTACAACCTCTAAATAGAATTGGTTCAACAGTCACTACATCTAAGGTTTGACTTGACAGGATGGTCGAATAGACCCCCTGGAACACCCAGCAGGTATGTAGTTCAAAATTGGGTATTCAGTTTTGTGCTAGCAGCCATTTTAATAGACAAGGGTGGGTGACGCAACACCGTTAAAACTCCTATCTTTGCTAATAATCAACCAATTTTAATTATTTTGGTACCAATGGGTCCGTCTTAGAAATTGCTACCATAAAAAAAAGTTAACCTATAAGAGTTCACTTAAGAGGTCACTAGAGGTCACTACAGGTCAAAGCGGTCATGTGACAGGCATTTTTCCTTAACTGCAGTAATGATTAGCAAATATAAATAAAATGTTGGCTAGCATGAGTTGCGTATGTTTATTTTACCTAGGGTGACCATATACGGAGTCAGTAAATATAAACTATTCATCTTGAACGGCTAACTTATGGCAGCAAATCGGAATAGTGAATGAAATCCGTGACATGATGACCTTCAAATTTTGGGTAGGGTAACAACTGCTAAATTCTTAATTTTTAAAAGTTTTGGTACCATAGATTCCTTATTGAAATTTGCCTAGCATACTGTATTAACACAAATATAATGTTAATGCCTTTAGAAAGTCACTACAGGTCAAAGCGGAAAAACATAAAAAAGTAAACAACATACAAAATGAATGAATGTTCCAACATGAGCCACTGACTGGATTGGATAGCACATATGTTTGCTAATAACCATGTGCTATAACACTACTAAATAATATACACCACTCTATATAAATTAGATATTCAACATTGATTTGGCATGGATATCAGTTTTTAGGTGCGAGTTAAGAGTGCAATAACACGAACGAGTGAGCACATAAAACCATGTGATCAGGCCCGTAGCCAGCTTTATTGGTGGGGGGTTCTTTTTTCGCAATGTTGGCAATTTGCTCGGCAGGGGCGTGTACAGGATTTGTACAGGGCTAGGTCTAACCGCTAACCGTAACGCGAAGCGACCAGGCGAGGAGGCCAAGCGACCGAGCGGTGTGGGAGGGTGTGGGGGGGGTGATTTCACTGTTTTCACCCTTCCGCACGATAGAGATTTTGCAATTATTACACTAAAATGGAGCGACCTGAGATGAAATTCTTGCAAATTTTCAACAAATTTTTTTTTGGCTTGGGGGGAGGGCTCGGGGGGGGGGGGGTTCGTTCGAACCCCCCGAACCTCACCAGTGTTGGCTACTGCCCAATGATAGATGGATCCGCAACAAAATCCAGTACAGTGTGCCATGATGGCGAGCCTTGGCCAGGAAGACAGCGTCATAACGTTCGACCTCGCCATCTATGTCAAAGCCAAAGAAATACAATGGCGCCTACCAGAAGAGTTTGTCAACATGGTCATTCGCATGGGAGGCTTCCAAGTAGCCATAAACTACCTATCCCTCCTGGGAAAAAAATATGATGGATCGGGAATAGAGGATCTACTTATCGAATCGGGAGTGTATGGTAGTGGCACCGCCTCACTGCTTCTAAAGGGCAAGTTTTTCCTACAACCGTTCGTGCACATCGACTGATCATGGAAGCCATATTCCGTCTCCAGTGGCAAGCCTTTATCAAGTGGCTGTCAGACAATGATGGTGGTGGTGTAGATAAGGAAGCAGTGGCAGAGTACACCAGGGCCTGTAGAGAAGCTGTCCAGGAACGCAGAGCTGTCAAGGAAAACTTAGACAAGCTGACGCAGAACATGGTAGAGCTGAAACAGCAGTTCACCACATTCAAGAATGAGGCTCGCAGCAAATCTCACCTGTTTGCTTTCTGGGATGACTATGTTGCTATGGTCCAGCTGCTTCTCCAGTTCATCAGGGCAGAGAGGACCAGTGACTGGCATCTCCACCTGTCAGCAACTTCTGCCATGACACCCCACTTCTTCGCCATGGACAGGCCAAACTATTCCCGATGGCTACCTCACAGGTCTACATCACCGACATGAGCCAGCTGTTGGAGACACATCCTGCCAATCACAAAGAGTTGGTCAATGGAAACCATGCTGTCAGCAGGTCTAGTCAGCCGTTTGCTCATGTGTGGACTGATATGGCCTTGGAGCAATCCATCAACCTGGACTCAAAGACCAAGGGTGGCATCATCGGCATCAGTCAGAAACCCGGAGCACTGGAACGCTGGTTCTTAACCAGCCACGAACGAGCTGTTATCACAACAGCAATGAAGGAGATGTGTGGCCTGCAAGATTCTGATCGAGTGGGAACACACAAGGAGGCAGCCCCAAATAGATGGAAGAGAGATGAGGGAGATGTCAACAAGCTCACAACACATCACATCACATCACATCAGGCCTCATGACAGACCCATTCTCTCTTGATGAAGTGGACAATGACAGTGATGACCCCTTACCCCTTATCAACATTGCCACAGGAGTGGTGATGCCACAAGATGTTACAAGATGCCTACTGAGCTGCTATGAGTTAGGCACAGCACAGATGACAACATTTGTGGAGGAAAGGCTCAACACCAATGAGGTGCTCTTTTGGAATGCCTTACCCAATCTCAAGATCAAGACCTTCACCACATTGGCAAAGAAGAAGAAAATCAAGACAGCTGACGACAAAACAATCAAAATGTACTTTCCGCTGACATGCGAAGAGTAAGTGTCGGATAACCTTTTGACCCTCAAGAGGAGGGTTAAACATTGATTTGTGCCACAATGCACCATAAAACAGTTTCAGGCACTCGATTTGTATCAACCAATGGGATTTGGGAGGTATGCAGAATGTAGGTGGCTGAAATGATGTGTACGCAACTGCGTATCTGCATATCTGCGCCGAACAAAGGTGTCACTACGCACGACTTAAATGTTACGTTTATAACCGTAGCAACAGGCCTCAGATGAGCCCAGACGCTCTGCGGTTCTTGTTATGCATACATAATGAAGGGCAGTTGCACTATAGTCAAGTCAAGTGATAGACGTTTTTTATTTAGGTTTCTATCTATATGAAAAGTCCTTAGACTATATCAGGCAGAGGTATTGGATAAACATTGATCGATGCAGTGATTGCAGATTTAATTGTCAATCATAGGTTACTATCCATAAGCATGATTGGTCAATCAACTGCTATGAAGTATATCATGTGGTATGGTATGACTTTCTGTGTTCCTGACAGACCCTGGGAAGAAGGCTAGGCCAGTTTAAAGTGGCACCAACTACGTGCGATGCTGGGGGCAAGTACCGACCATTCATGGGCCTGTGCTGCAATGTCTGTGTCCCACTAAGTCGAGTAAGTTTTTAGTTATATTTAGCTAGTAAAATAATGAAATTATGGTGATTATAAGTGTTAATCTGTGTAATAAGTGTTGTTGGTGACAATGTTGTGTATAGTGCACTATATAGTATACATGTGAATGTACATGGCATGTTTATATGTAGCAGTCAATATAGTGTGTGTTATGTGTTTCACTAGTGTGATAATGTATGTAAAGTTCTTAGAACTAACAGATTTGCCATACTACTTAATGGCACTGCAGCATATTCTAGTATCAGTGTTCGAAATAAGAGAAATTTTTTGCTTGTCTGACCGACAAGCTACATAGTCCAGGAGCAAATTCCTGTACAACCTCTAAAAATGGAATTGGTTCAACAGTCACTACATCTAAGGTTTGACTTGACAGGATGGTCGAATAGACCCCCTGGAACACCCCAGGTAGTATGTAGTCTCAAATTGTGGTATCAGTTTTGTGCTAGCAGCCATTTTATAGACAAGGGTGGGTGACGCAACACCGTTAAAACTCCTATCTTTGCTAATAATCAACCAATTTTAATTATTTTGGTACCAATGGGTCCGTCTTAGAAATTGCTACCATAAAAAAAATGTTAACCTACTTAAGAGGTCACTTAAGAGGTCACTAGAGGTCACTACAGGTCAAAAGGTCATGTGACAGGCATTTTTCCTTAAACTGCAGTAATGATTGCCAAATATAAATAAAATGTTGCTACATGAGTTTGCGTATGTTTATTTTACCCTAGGGTGACCATATACGGAGTCCAGTAAATATAAACTATTCATCTTGAACGGCTAACTTATGGCAGCAAATGGAATAGTGAATGAAATCCGTGACATGATGACCATTCAAATTTTTGGGTAGGGGTAACAAACTGCTAAATATCTTTGCCAATATTTTACCAAATTTAAAAGTTTTGGTACCAATAGATCCTTATTGAAATTTGCTAGCATACTGTATTAACACAAATATAATGTTAACTGCCTTAGAAAGTCACTACAGGTCAAAGCGGAAAAACATAAAAAAGGTAAAACATACAAAATGAATGAATGTTCCAACATGAGCCACTGACTGGGATGGATAGCACATGTTGCTATAACCATGTGCTATAACCACTACTAAAAATATACCACCACTCTATATAAATAGATTATCACATGATTTGGCATGGATATCAGTTTTAGGTGCGAGTTAAGAGTGCAATAACACGAACGAGTGAGCACATAAAACCATGTGATCAGGCCCGTAGCCAGCTTTATATTGGGGGGGGGGGGTTCTTTTTTCCAATGTTGGCAATTTGCTCGGCAGGGGCGTGTACAGGATTTGTACCAGGGCTAGGTCTAACCGTAACCGTAACGCGAAGCGACCAGGCGAGGGAGCCAAGCGACCGAGTGTGGGAGGGGGGTGTTCACTGTTCACCCTTCCGCACGATAGAGATTTTGCAATTATTACACTAAAATGGAGCGACCTGAGATTGCAAAATCTTGCAAAATTTTCAACAAATTTTTTTGGCTTGGGGAGCGGCGCGGCGGGGGGGGGGGGGGCGTCAGGGCTGTGGGAGCCGGCCGAGGCACGGCCAGCCGTTGCGCGCGGGGCGCGCCAGCGTGCCTGGCGTCGCGTTTCGTCTCGAACCCCCGAAACCTCAACCAGTGTGCGCTACTGCCAATTTGCATAGATGGACCGCCAACAGAATCAGTACAGTGTCCATGATGGCGACCTTTGGCCATGAAGACGCCGTCATAACCGTTCGTACCTCCCATCATATGTCAAAGTGCCAAAGAAACTACACAATCTCCCAGGCCGGCCTACAGAAGAGTTTGTCAAACATGGCCTATTCGCACACGGGCAGGCTTCCAAGCTCAGCCATAACAACTACCTTCCCTCCCTGCGCCGCAAAAACAATAGCATGGATCGGCAATAGAGGATCACTTATCGATCGAGCTGTCTAGGTAGTGGCCCCACCGCCCTCACTGCTTCTAAGCAAGTGTTTTGCCTACAACCTTGTGACACATCGACTGATCACTGGAAGCCATATTCCGTCTCCTAGTGGCAAGCTCATCACAGTGGCTGTCAGACAATGGGATGGTGTGCGTGAGTAAGCGAAGCATGGCAGGAGCTACGCAGCCAGGCGCCTGTAGAGAAGCTGTCCAGCGACACGCAGAGCTAGTCAAGGAAACTTAGACAAAAGCTTTGACGCAGAACATGCGTAGAGCCTAAACAGCAGGTTCACCACAATTCAAGAATGAGTGCTCGCCAGCAATCTCACCTGTTTGCTTTCTGGCATGACTATGTTGCTATGGTCTCCAGCTGCTCTCTGCCAGCTTCATCAGGGCAGAGAGCAGACCATGTGACTGCGCATCTCCACCTTCAGCAACTCGCCCATGACACCCACTTCTTCGCCATGGACAGGCCCAAACTATTCCGATGCTACCTCACACGTCTACATCACCGACATAGCCATGCCTGTTGCGAGACACATCCTGCCCCATTCACAAAAGAGTTGGTCAATGGTAAACCATGCTGTCAGCAGGTCTAGTCAGCCGTTGCCTCATTGTGCTGACTTGATATTGGCCTTGGAGCAATCCATCAACCTGGCCAAAGACAAGGGTGCATCATCGGCCGATCAGTCAGAAAACCCGCGGAGCCACCGTGGCAACGCTGCGTTCTTAACCAGCATGAACGAGCTTTATCACAACAGCAATGAAGGGAGATGTGTGCCTGCAAGATTCTGATCGAGTGGGAACACACAAGGAGGCAGCCCCAAATAGATGAGAAGATGAGCGGAGAAGGAGTGTCAACAACTCACAACAACATCACATCACATCACATCAGGCCTCATGACAGAACCATTCTCTCTATGATGAACGTGTGACAATGACCCGAGTGATGACCCCTTACCCCTTATCAACATTTGCCACAGCAGTAGTGATGATAGTGCAATACCATAGATGCCTACTGAGCTGCTCATGAGTTAGCACAGCAACATGACAACACCTCTTTGTGGCGGAAAGGCCTCGAGAACACCAATGGAGGTCTGCTCTTTTGCGAAATGCCTTACCCAATCTCAGATCAAGACCTTCACCACATTGGCAAAGCAAGAAGAAAATCAACGACAGAGGCTGATCGACAAAACAATCAACTGTGCTGACGTGAATCGTCGACTTATTTGGCCGTCCTTGTGATTTCTCGCAAATGTCTATGCACATTCCCAAACTCTGAGACTAAGAAGCGTCTTCCACGCTTATTTAACTCTGCTCGACAGTCCGCCCTTATTCCCTCCGATACCACATCCGGATGCAAATCTCAGGAAACAACGCACAAGTGCTGTTCCTCATCCGGAGAGGATTACCAGGGAATTCGCGATGTTCATGGCCACTTCCGAAAACATTCCTCAGCACTAGGACTGCACAGGATGATCATAAACTG